CACATTCTTGACTGTCTGGGGCTTACAAAACAAGATCTTTATGAAGACCGTCTAATGGTATTGGACTTTTTGAAAGTAAACGACATAATGGACTTGGTCTAGCTTGGCTAGACATGGAGATGAGCAACAACAACACCTTAAGATTGTAAAAATAACAAATAAAAAAAGCGTTTACCACACTCTCAAAAAAGAAAAAGAGGGAGATTTGCGACAAATACATTTTAGTTCAAATGTAGACTGTCAATGCCATTGGTAACAAATAAACAGTTTTCCAAGAATGAACGATTTCGTGAGCCTGGAGTGGCTCCTTAAACCGCGTGCTATTACCCGGGTTAAGGCATGAGCCAGTTGGGATCACGACCTTGTTTCGATCTCGAATCAATCTTAATAAGGTCACGAAGGTCGTTAAAGGCCATTAATGGTTAAATATTATTTCAGCACATATTATCTGAAAAACAAGGAATTTCAGACAGCATGTTAACTGACAAAAATGATAATTATGTGATGACTTTATCCATGTCTAGGCCTGGGCCAAAATCCATATTCAACTCATTTAGTCGAAATGAGGTCATCGATCGAGTTGGTTTGTGCCTAGGTTTGTGAGACTGCGAGTCGTGCTCATTTATTTGTTTTAAATTACCGTTCGTACGAGTATTTGAAAATGCATACTATACACCACGGATGGACATTAAGTCGATCGCGATCAACCGGTGGACCGCCAAGACGTTTTGGTGTGACCGCTTTTATTAAGACCTAGCAGAAAGATGTTTGTGGAACACCAATGCAAGCCTTACTGAAGAATCGGCTTTTTACAATAGCATGTAAAAGAAGACTGTAAGAAAATGATTCGACAAATGTGTATACGACACATGTACCTCCATTGGAAGCGCACGATAACGCTTAACACGTTCACTGCTGACGTAGTTGGAAAAAGCGATTACTATGATGCCAGCCGTATAAATGAATTTTTCACCACACGTCAACTGAAGGGGAGAATAAGTGTTGATGATCGGCTCTTAAAATATCCCCCCACACCCTGCTCTTTCACGGAATTGAGTTCTTTTGAGGATGCCACGTCCCTCATGTCGTGGAACTCGGCAGCAAATAAATTAAGTACATAAGTCGGTTTCAGATTCATCGATTCATGTACAGTAAGACCCCGCTTAACGCGGGGAATACGTTCAACCAAAGTAGAGCGTAATGCGAAACAGCGCTAAACGAGGCTATCTTAACATGTAAATAATGGGGTTATAGGAAGATGGATAGAAAATTGGTTAGGTATTAAATTTAATAATTATGTTTTTTTTTAATAAAAATAAAACCAAACATTTATTTCGTACAAAAATAAAAACAATATAAACGAATATATACATATAAAAACAAATAAAATGCTAAGTCAATCAGATCATTCAGTCTATTCTGTGTTTCCAATTTTCTGCCTTTTTGTCAAGAAGCATCTTGTTGAAATTAGCAAATTCAATGCAGCACTTATTTGAGATGGATATTCACCAGAATCTAATCTTCTAATCAATTGCATTTTAGTTTCCAGTGAAATGCTTTTTCTGGTTGCTTTCTTTTCTTGTTTTTCATTATCACCCATGATAAAAACTAAAGATCATAATATTTGTCACTGTATTAATCGTTATAGTACTACATAAATTTATGCTTACAATAATGTCAACAAATGTTTCAAATGGTAAAAATGCGTCCGTACAGCACCGCACCAAACAAGAAACACAACTACACTGTTTCGGATATGTTATGTACATATTTTGAAACCTATAATTTCGGGGATTCCCCGTAGCGCTGCGAGCAATTTCGGGGAATCCCCGGGTTGAAATAAAAGAGCGCTAAACCGCGCGAAACAGCGCTAAACGAAACAGTGTTAAGCGGGGTCTTACTGTATGTTCTCTGCTTGCGTTGAATAACATCCACGCTCCATGGTTTAGCAATTGCTCTCATTGTTGTTCAAGCATTCAACTTGACAATTTTGTATTGCTTGTATTTTTGTAGTAAACATTGTAACCTGATTTACTTTAAAAGACCGTCGTCGAAAACAGCGTCGAAAACAAGCGTTAAAAAAAGATATCATACAATTTTAATATAGAATGGCCATTGTACATAGAACGCAGCACTTTAAAAACATTAGAAGTAGCCCGTACTCTGAAAAGTCTGCCTACCCCTATTATATATTTTTAAAGATCACAGGTAGGGCCTAATTTTGCATAAGGTTCCAGGGCTTCAAAAAATCTTAAGACGTCCCTAATATCATTCGAATACTTAATATAAAAGCATGAGTAAAATATATGCCCAGATACAATATGTATTATAAAGTACAATGTGAGTTTTGCGTAGACTATTCAATAATTCTTTTTATCTAAATTTTAGTCTAACAAATTGTGCTAGACTTCACTGGATGAAAAGTTGCTTCCTCGAAATATTATGCAATTTTTTAAGCAATGCATAAAGAAATAATGTAAAAACTCAGACTAACTAGCGTTGTTATAACTCTCATACTAACAAAATTTGTGGAAATAATATCGTCTTCATTCCTGCTGTGTGTATTAGCTTATGTCTTTTTTTCGTGATTTTATCTTTCTTTCCTTGTAATTGTGTTTCTATGATATTTGCTCAGTGAATTAATTCTGGCCATAAAAATTTGAATACTAATGAATGCGATATTAATTTATTTGAGTATTGTTGCAACAGAAAGTGAAAAAATTCAATTAAGTTAAATTGTTTAATAGAAATTTAATTTAACATAAAAAGAAAAAATAAATTTATTGAATACTTATTTTATTTGTAAAAGTACATTCTATCATATATATCTAGAGAAAATAATATTATACAGGCAAGAAGATAACAATTTACATATTTTTGCATTAAAATAAAAACTTAGAACTAAATTACTTTTTTATTTAAAAAGGTTTCAAGTGCTCATTATAAAGTTAATTCATGTTTTAAATATTACATAGAATTTTTTTTTACTTATACTTAGGTAGTATAAATTCGTTGCATAAATTAAAACAACAAATACTTCATTTTCAACATTTAATTATTCGCTAATGGGGGGAGGGGTATGCTAGACAACTAAAAACAACGTAATTGTTTCAGAAGAGTTAGAAAAACAGTTGAAACAAATGTTGTCTAGTGTAATTACTAAATGAAACTAAAATGTTTAAGTAGAAAAAAATAAATATTCATCTATCATATACTTTTATTTAATAGTATTAATGTATATTTTAGTGGATTAATTCTATATTTTTTATCATAAATCATTTCGCAAATATAGTCACATAATTAATGACATCACATTTGCTAGAATATATAAATCGCTTACTGATGTTAAGCTGATATATTTTTTTTGTAACTGAAAAGTTATAATTTGTAGAAAAGAAATAATTCTACCGCTTGTATTTTGGTTTTCCTCCTGCTGCAATAACATTTGTAGAATAAAGAAAATCACCCGTCTGATATTGTGGTTAGCGACGCTGACTGCTGTGCCGTAGGACCCGGGTTCGAATGTCCGAAAAGGCCTGGATGTTTGTAAATGTATAGCGCCTTTTCGGCATGAGGGTACTCTAAATAGCAGTCCAGCCGCAAGTCCTCTAGTGAGGTGGGAGGCCCCTGACCCCCGAGGGTGTTCTCCCTCAAAATTAGGGTGGAACCGAGCTAAATCGTACTATCACCCGCATGGTGATTAAGGCTACGGCTAACGACAGGCTTATATCAAGTGTCTTGCCATAATGAATTTCGTGGACCTGAATCTGACTCAAGATCAGGTGGCATAAGTAGCAACAGAATAAAGCATCGGTCGCCAAACTTTTTGACCTCATGGACCAGTAAATTCATAATTTAAATCTCATGGACCACTAATAAGAATTTTTAAGTGTTTAGTATTAAAAAGAGTGTAATCCAAGGGCACATAAAATGTACCTAGTTAATAAAATGAAGCTATTAATTGTAACCAAATTATGAAAGCTTTATTAATTAACCATAATAAAAATTTTAAAAAACTGTAAAAACAAAACAATTAAAAAATGGTTTAAGTATATCAAATTTTTAGCATTATACATTCCTAGTGTGATGGGTGTTCCTGCTTACTTGAAATAAGATTATGGATATTTGGATCCAATGTTGTTACAGCAAGATGGAGAACTGCATTTATTTCAAACTGAGATCGGTACCGTATTTTGAAGACTGTGGCAGATGAAAAAATCTTTTCACGTAAATAAGTTGTGGAGGATTGAATCAGGAATTTTATCGCCTTTTCACTAAGAAAAGGGTATTCACTTTGTGTGGGAAGTCAATACTGAGATCTTGATAAGGACATCTTGATCTCATAACGTGATGAATAAGTATACTAAACATTTTTTGGGGAACCAGCGAAATTTTCTCGCTGACCACTAGTGGTCCACTGACCACCACTTTTGCGACAAATGGAATAAAGGATGAACTCAAATGAGGCTCATGTTGGGTTCTTATTGGGTATATAAAAAAGAGTGTGGGAAATAGTTCATTGCAAGCAGAAATAAATTATCATTTACATTGTACTTCATTGCTTATTTTATTTACCATTGCCTTTTATTAATAATTACTAAAATTTAAATTTTTTTAGTCTCGCCTTCCTATGAAAAAGAAAATATATTTTTGGAATGGTTTTTAAAAGTTTTTCCCATTTTAGTATCGTCTGATCGTGTGTTTATTTGAATTGTTGTGTACATTTTTCACAGTTCCTACTATTATAGTACACACTCTCCCTATACATATTTATTTATAGATATATATATCTTGTGTTAAAATTTTCAGTCGTTAATAAAATACTTTTTATTCATCTACTCAAGATCATTTTTTTAAACTTATAGTGGATGACACTTGAGGTTAATACAGTTTTTTCAAATATTTTTTTAATTCATTAATTAAATTTATTGAATGATTAAATAACAACAACCAAAAATAATATTTTAACACCATGTATAAAAAGGAAAACCGGTTGTTGTGTTCCTGTAACGTGATGGATAGCGTGTTGGACATCTAATCCAAAGGTCGTGGGTTCGTATCCCCCGTGGAATGGCCGAATTTCTGAGAATGTGATTTCTTTTTACTATACTATTTTATTGGAATAATTAAATTTAATTAATGAACAAAAATAGTAACAAACAAAAATAATTGTCTATCATCCTATATAGAAAGGAAAACGGAAAATTGCAAGGAAAGTCACTTTCTATTTTGCCACTTAATATTGTGATTCTGTGTCATATGTATATACATATTTATCTTAGTTGTAATTATTTAATAAAAAGAAACTAAAATAAAACTTTGCTTTTTTGACCTAAGTAGGAATTGACTTTAAAATTATTTTTATGTTACTTGTTTAGTTAGTTCTTGCATATAAAAAAACTAGGAATTTTCAACGAGCCAAGTTCATATGACGTCATACCCACATGATAAATACAATCACATGTTTCCAGCTAATTAGTTCATGCGCTTCAGTATTGCCAATTTTTGCTTTATATATATATATATATATATAAACTTTCTTTTAAAAAGTACATATACGTCATCCATAATAATGCACATAGGTAAACAAAATGCGCTTGATCTAAAAGTAATACATAAGGTGTTTTTTCTAATTTTTAAAAACATTTTGAGGAAATTTAATACTTAAACATCTTTAGCCAACTATCAAATTAGAAATTGTATCCAAACTGGCTTTAGACCTATACTTGCTTTTGTACTTGTAAACAACAAATACAAGTCCTTAGTCAGTTTTGAATTCAATAGAGACCATGTGACTATATTTATCATGTGACCATCCGGAACTTAGCCCATTAAGTACACTTACGGCACTAAACGTCTTTACAATTTTTGGTTTCAATATTTTCATTTTCTTTCAACTTAAGGTATCCGACTATGTTCGCAACCGTGATTTTAAAGAAGAGCATAAATTGATAATTTTCATGATATTTAGTGTCACTTAGATTAGAATACATGTATAAAGTTGTTTTAAGGACACATTAGGAAAAAAAATTATTTAAATAAAATATTTAGGCAAAAAATTAACTTAGAATAACCTTCTTTTCAAAATGTTCTCCTTTTATAAAAAATGCTTCTATAATAATAATATTTTGCGTATATAAAGTAAAGACTTCTCCAGAGAGTCTGAACTAAGATTTTTGAAAATTTCACATTTTCAGAGTTACTACCAATTAAAATAACTATCGCCTTTTTTTTCTTAAAATTTATACCCTCTATTGTAGTAAAATATGGATAAATCCAGTTCTAAGGTATATATGTCAAAAATTCTAGTTGAGCCTCTGTAGAAAGGTCTGAGCTACATATAGGCAAAGCAATATTATAATAGAAGCATTTTTCAAAAAAAGGCGACTGTTTTGAAAATGAGTCATTCTATGCTCATTTTTTGTCAAAATATTGTACTTAAGTAATTTTTTATTGTTATAATATTCTTTGAACAATTTTATATACGTTTTCTAATCTAAGTGACTATGATTGATTGATTGAATATTAACGTCGCACTGTTCAGCTACACGAGGACTTTTGGCGACGGACCACGTAATTTTGAACCATGGTCAAGTAACGTGGATGACACCTGACGCATATTATTTTTTAAAAAAAATTATTCTTTTCTTAAAAGAATTCTTTTTTTTTTCAATATTTATCTTACTTTTTTCTATCTTACTGATAAAAAAAAAGAACTTTTTTGGCCTAAATAGAAACCTGAACCTTAGTGAAACGATAACGATTAAAGAAGATCTACTTCAATAAGTCTTGATTTAATGATCCGAAAACCATTAACGTCTACTAGCGAGGATTTTCTCATCAAATTCGATAAAAAAAGAAAGAAAGAAATGTAATGATCTAGTGTAACGTCTAATTTAGAAAGCCAATTAACTGATTCAGTAGTGATCAATGCTTAATCTCAGAACATTAGTGTCTTCTTGAGAGAAATGCTCATGTTTAACAAGTATTTTTTCATGATCTTTTCGATCAAACTCTTTTTAAACATGGGTTTTAATTCTTGAAATTTCTTTATCAGAACACTACATAAATTAACAATTCTTATTGAATTTCTAATAAAAATTGAAATAAACTTGTAGTTCCGTTTTTTTTTTACCAATTCTATAACAATTTTTTCTACAAGTAAAGTGTTTACATTTTTAGAGGAAGTGTTGTATTTTAGCTACGTTTACTATAAAAAAACAAGTAATATAAAAAAAATTAAGTCAATTTCTACTTACAAGGAGAGGGCACGACTAAGGAAATTCATTTCGGGTCGAGACTTGGTGTAATAGAAGTACTCCTTTAGGGTGTTCAACCCTTAATGTAATTCCGTCAAATGGCCAGTCAATTCGTAGAAAATAGCCTTCGAAATTCATGCTTAGCTTTTATACAATTACGTTTCAATTTTGTCCACCGGCCTAGTGACTCAATTGGTAAATCGTCTGCCTTC